ACTGGTACAGAGCTAGTTTCTTCTCGTCTTTTGTATATTCACATACGTTTGAAAAAATGCTCCATTTTCTTCTATTGAACAGATATACTTTTCTCAACAAAGAAACATCAGAAAACCAAGGATTTGGGGGTAGGCATTGTTCTCCTTGGTTCTTCTCTCTCTCTCTCGCTCGTCTGATGTTATTTTTTACATAACCACAACTCGTCTTGACATATAAACTTGTGGTTGTGGGCTGTAGCCTGAAGATTTTTGGATAAAGGCACCCAAAAAAGGAGTTGTTGTCTTTGCAATACCTGGTGAAGCTGGTTTAACAGAATTAGCCGGCGACTTCAAAATCCACTTTCAAGATAGTGATGGAGATTTCTACTGGTAAACTCTCTTCCTTCACAGACATCTTCCAAATCGACAAATTCACCAACTTTTACTGTTTTCTGATCGCAGTTGGCTAAATACTACACTGACTGATAACAGAACAATGCTGAAAGGTAGTGACTTTGATGGCTTTGAAAAGGTAAAAGAGATGTTCATAGCCTTAATGATCTAAGAAACAAACCTGGTTGCTTTCCTTTAGACCTGATTCCTTGATGGTTTTTGCAGAGAAAACTGCCTGCACCGGGTTTTCATGTCGAGATCGTAATGATAGAACCCGACAATTCACAACCAACAAAGTCCAAATCTGATTCCACCCAACAACAATCTCAAAGCAGCTCCAGTGCTGGTTCCAGCAAACTCAAGTCAAATGAGAAAGACGATGATGTATTCTCCGACAGTGATGGGGAAGAGGAAGGAAACTCGAAACCCATCGATTCTTATTCAACTACCGAGAAAACCTCAGACTCAATGCACATAACTAGTAAGCCTCATCAGATCAATGAGCCACCAAAGACAGATGATCCTGCCGCAAACAGAAGTGTCACAAGTTCCTCGGGTCATTATAATCCAGTACCGAACGACTCATTAGCAGTTAGTGATATCAAAGCTATTGCTGCAGACGCATCCGTATTCTCCTTTGGCGACGAGGAAGAAGACTATGAAAGCGACTGAGCTTGAAACTCAGGTTTTATCACACTTATCATACACAAACAAGTATAATAGACTCTGTATTGACTCTGTTTCTATATAGCTTCCCATTATAAGAGATAACAATTGTAACAATTGCAAAAAAACAACAGAAACTTTATATTGTTTCCCAATTGCATTTGTGGTTGGAAATAATCTCATTCCTGCATCTGCAGCTTTTCAATTTCCTTATCGCGTTGTATTCTAGTACTGTGACAATAAGTACTAGTTTTGCCCCCTGTTCTAAAAATCCCCGCCTAGACCCGATTACTCCCCGCTTAATCGCTAGGCCCACCCTGTCCGCCTCGATTAATGACTAATCCCTTAAAGAAATCAGTCACCCGATTACTCTCCGCCTAATCCAATTATTCCCCGCCTAATCCGATTATTTCCCGCCTAATCTTACATACCCCGATTATTTTTAGATTGCCAGTATAAAAAAACTTTTTATTTTTGTTATTCAATCATTTGAATTGGGAGTTTGTAATGTTTTACAATAATTTATGTTCATATTTTAATAAAAATCATAAATATTTGTCTCAAAAATACATTTTTATGTGTTTACTGCAATTTTAAAAATAATATTGGATTAATATGTTTTAAAAATATTAAAATAACCCTAAAACTAATCCCCGATTAATCCCCGATTTTAATCCGATTTTCCGATTAATCGCTAGGCCCATGCCGAACGCCCGACTAGCGCCTAGCGATTTTTCAAACAAGGGTTTTGCCAATTGCTTGTTCGAATATCCGAAAAAAAGTCATTGGATTTCAATCAAAGTACCAAACACGGATAGAAGAGAGTTCTCTTGGATTTAAAAATCAACGTCAAACCAGCGCAAACTCCTAAACTATAATGATACGTTACAAAATAGTTAATCTAATCCTAGGTTGCATCATTCATCTTGAACCATTTTACGGACAAATATACTAGCTCTTGATCCCGATCTCAGCTTAACGATGACCACTTTTTGTAGCAAGCCTAATGAATCCTAAAAAAAAAACATAAAACAAACTTATTTCATCATTTTTGATAAGATAGTTTCAGATCCAAAAGAAGAGATTCTAAAATACCGTCATTTGAATTCCATCCACGTTTTCAAATGCTTGGTCTGCGTCTTCTGAACTACCAAAAACAACAAATGCACAATAGTACCGTCCCTGTGTTTTCGCTTGCTGCCAAAAGAAAAATAACCAAGGTCAGAGAAAGGTTTTATGTTAGGAGCGTTAGAGAAGAAGTACATGGTTTTGATTACTCAACCTTCACATCAAGTGTAAACTTTCCAGAAAGAACTTGATCCAGCTCTTCAGATGGCACATTGTTAGGGATTTTATGTAGAAAGAGTTTTGCTTTCTCAACCTCCAACATCTAAGGAAAATGATGTCATTTGTAATTGTTGGAATTTATGATGATAAAACTATTAAGTTTGGTAAATCCATTCTTTTTTCAAACCTCTTTAGATGGTTTGATTGTTGTGTCAACTCTTTTCTCTACAACAGCAAGTGCAAGTTTCATCGCAGCTTCTGCGTCGTGTACACAATTATGAGGAACGCCGGTCTTTCGGACTTCGTAACCCAAAATAGACTGGAAAATTAATTTCAAACAAAAAAAGTACTTAAAATGTTATCTTTTTGTGATATTCCCTCAAGAGTATAGAAACACATTATAGACTTACCTTGCAAAGGTTGTTAAGTGAAGGTCTTCTAAGCTTTCGTGTATTGGAATACCTGAATACAAGTGCAGTATCGATTACTTTAGGATGATCTATCTTCAACACTGGGATCAAAATATGAAAATACCCATAAATTAGTAGCTAAAACCAATAAAAATGACAAAATCAATACCAACTCACTCTGCTAGGAACTTTTTACTTACCTTCCAAATCTCTGTTCAAACTGTGACCGACCAAAATCGTACCCGTAGAAAGAAAGGGCTGCAAAGTTTCCTGCACATTTCACAAAGTTAACAACATAACGATTATACGTTAATGCGGGGAAGATAAACCAATAGAATGACTCTACATGGTACCTGTATATCTGCCACAGAGAGTGTAGCATTTTCGATATCTTCAGCAGTAATCCCTGTAATGTCTGTCCTATAGTCAACAATATGTTTGTCCGGTTTCACAAATTCGTAAAGAATCACCTAAAGCCATTAACATTTGATCACCCGAGTCACAAAACCAGATCCATAGCAAAAAGGCGGTAACTAAAGAATAGAGATCCTCTAAGCTATACCTTTAAATCACGGTCTACAACACCAACTCTAACTAAACCCTCAGTCCCATCTTCACAAAGAACCATCTCACAATCAACAGCTACCATGTTAGTTGATTTCATCACCTTCGACATCTTCATTCCAACATCGGATACAAACCAGTCCTGCTTAAGCAATTCAACAACTCTTAAAGAACCGCATATAACACGTAACAAGATCCCATTGTTTAGGAGAAGGAAACAAAAACCTCAGAGTATGGCTTGAATGAATAGTCTACTGAATAATTCGGATGCTCAATGGTCAATCGAACTAGCCTCTGTACTGCCAACCAACAACATTTTAAAACCTCACTTCAAACATATTCCTAACAAATATAACAAAATCATCTCCCACCCGCTCAGGAGTGTCTTCATCTTCGGATTCCTGCTTCAGCTTTTCAAGGAGAAGATGATTGGCGTGACATTTCAGAACCTTAGCAGCAAAAAGAACAAAACTTTAGTGGCCAAAATTACAATCACATTATGTTTTTTCTTCAGTTCACTAACTTGCAAATCTTCTTTCTTCTTAAAAGTTGTCAGAAACTGAACCAAATCTTCATGAGAACGCCTCGAAGGGTCACTTGGTGATTCGGCATTTTTGTCGTGAACATGTAAAAATTCCTTCCAGTTTCCATTTTCGCCACGCAAATCTCGACTCTGAAGTAGCTTCACCAACTCTTCAAGCACCTAATCGGATAATTCGATGAAATGGTTAGATATAGTCATACAGAGAAGCTAATTCGACTTCACAAAAATGGGAAACGAATCCAAAAACAGTGAATTATTCTTTTACAAAAAATGGGAACTTTGGCTGGGAGAAAATAAGAGAAAGAAAGAGACGAACTTGTTTCTCGGCGGTGGCTAGTTTAAGCTCCATAGGAAGAAACAATGGCGGCTGAACGAGTTGTTTTTTTCAGCTGGGAGTGAATTTGGCACAAACTGTTTGGGGAAGAAGAAACAGGGTTTAGGGTTTTTATATCTTTTGTATTTTTGTTTTGTGAAATTCTCCTTTAAAAAAAAAAAAAAATTAATTGGATTTTTTTTTATATTTTTTTGGGGTTGTTTCAAGAAACAGAAGTTTATATATTATGGTTTGATTTCTCAACCTTAACATCAACTGTAAATTCTTACGAAAGAAACTTTAGAGAAAGAAGTTGGTGCAGCTCTTCAGATGGCACAATGGGAAGGATTCCATGTGGAAAAAAGTTGTGATTTCTCAACCTCCATCATCTATGAAAAAATTGCCCACGTTGTAATTATAATTGTTAACTTATGATAAAACAAGTATGGTAAATCCAACTTCTTGTAACCTCTTCAAATAGTAAGATTGTTGTGTCAACTCTTTTCTCTATAAGAGCAAGTGCAAGTTTCATTGCAGCTGCTGCGTTGTATATGCAATCATAAGGAACGCCAGCCTTTGATATGAGGAAGAAGACTATGAAAGCTATTGAGTCTCTTTCTATACATAGATTCTGGAATTTGTCTTTTAGTTTCTGCCTCAACTCTTCAATTTCATTTAAATGATGGATTTATTTATTAGAGTTGTTTTCTAATACTGTGATCCTGTTTATAAATTTTGCCTATGATTTAATATAAATCTATCAGAAAACTCAAAATAAATACCAAAAATAAAGGATAGAAAAAAAACTTAGCTTAGATTTATTAATCAATGTTAAAAACAGCTTCAGAACTCCCAACATAAAAAGCATATTAAAAAGAAAAAAATTAAGCTTCAAGCCTTCAACCAACCCTAGGTTGCATCACCAATCTTAAGCCATTTTACGGACATAAAAAGTGGCTCTTGAACAAGAAATGAGTTTCTGTGGCAGCCCCGATGAATCCTGAAAAGCAAATATTAAAAAAAAAAAAAAAAAAATTATTATTTCATCACTCTGAATCACAGATTTTAATTCGGGTCCTTTCAAAACAAATCAAAGATTCTATAATACCGTTTCTTGGTATCCATTAACGTTCTCAAATGCTTGATTTGCTTCTAATGAGCTACCGAAGACAACAACTGCACAATAGTAACCTCCTTGTGTTTTTGCTGGCTGCCAAAAGAAAAAAAAAACTTAGGTAAAAAAAAAAGGTTCAGATTTAGAGAAAAGAAAAATATATTTATGGTTTGAATTCTCAACCTTAACATCAACTGTAAACTTATTGGGAAAAAACTTTAGAGAAAGATCTTTTTTCAGCTCTTCAGATGACAGATAGTGAGGGATTCTATGTAGAAAGAGTCTTGATTTCTCGGCCTCCACCATCTATAGAAAAACCAATGTAATTGTAATTCATGATAAAACAAAAAAAAAGTTAGGTAAATTCGTATTTTTTGTCACCTCTTTAGTTAGTGTGATTGTTGTGTCAACTCTTTTCTCTATAACAGCAAGTGCAAGTTTCATCGCAGCGACTGCATCGTGTACGCAGTGATGAGAAACACCGGTCTTTTGGACTTCGTACCCCAACACAGACTGGGAAATAATTATTTGTTAGAAAGTATTAAGAATGTTATTCTTACGTGAATCCCTTCAGAGTATAGACTTACCATGCAAAGGGTATTAAGAGAAGGTCTTCTTCGCTTTGTTGAATTAGGATACTTAAATACAAGTGAAGTATCAATTACTATGGGATGATCTATCTTCAACACTGGTAACAAGATACTCCTGATTTTAGCAAAAGTCCAATAATAATAATTAACAAGAACTAGTAGGAAAATTTTACTTACCTTCCAAGTCATGGTTCAAACTGTGACCTACCAAAATTGTACCCGAAGAGAGAAACGGCCGCAATTTTTCCTGCACATTTTACACAACACAGTCAACAAAACTTGTATGTGTTGTCTCTAGGAAAAAAAAAAAAAAAAAGAGACAACATGGTATATTTATTACCTGTATATCAACCAAAGAGAGAGTAGCTTTGATGACATCTTCAGCAGTAACTCCTGTAATAGTTGTCCTATAGTCAACAACAGGTTTGTGCGGTTTCACAAATTCATCAAGGATCACCTAAAGCCATAAACATGCATTTCATCACCCGAGTTAAGGATATATTGCCAAGACCTCAATAAGAAATAAAGATTCAAAACTCTCAAAATAACTCTAAGCTATACCTTTAAATTGCGGTCAACAGCGCCAACTCTAACCACACCCTCGGTTCCATCTTCACAAAGAACCATTTCACAGTCAAGAGCTACCATTTGGTTTGAAATCATCACATTCGACATTTTCGTTCCAACATCGGATACAAACCAATCCTGCTTAGAAATTAAAGAAGTCTTAAAGAACCGCATAAAATACACAAAATTAACTTGGATATATTAAACAGCAAAAGACCTTTGTTTAGGAGAGGAAACAAACCTTGGAGTGTGAGTGAAACGAAAAGTCGACACGGTATTGCGGATGCTCAACGGTCAATCGAATTAGCCTCTGTACAACCAACAACATTTTCAAACATATTATTATTGTAAACTTATACAAACATTCATAAAAACATGTTTTTTAAAATTGATTTCCAACACACCTGCTCAGGAGTGTCTTTGTCATGAGATTCTTGCTTGAACTTTTCAATCATCAGACGATTGGCTTGGCGTTGCATAGCCTTAGCATAAAAAGCAGAGAATTAAAAAACCATAACTCATTAGTCATTACAATCACATTGTGTTATCTTCACTTACTTGCAAAGTTGTTTTATAGTTCTCCATAATTAAGGACCAATCAATTTTTCCAGCGCCGGGGCCTTTTAAGAGGAAGATGAGACAGAGTGAAGTTCAAAACTATACGATTCAAATCAAACTTTTTACGTACATATCCTCATTATATACAAAATGCGAAATTTTTAAGAATATAGATATATTATCTTCCGTATCAATTTGATGCAGCGTGATATTTGGATAATTCCAAATATCTTCTATTTATTTATTATTTGTATTTTAATTAGTTTAGATAATTATTAGATTATTTTAGCGTTTATCTAGGGTTTTGGGTTTTATTATAAATAGCCACTTAGGCTTATTGTATTATAGAGAAGTTATTGATGAATTGATTAATCGAAAGATTTAAATAGGTTTTTATAAACTACTGTGAAGAGTATTTACAACCCTAAGAGCTTTTGCAAAAGTCTTGAGAGGAAGACTGTCAAACCCTAGTTTCCGGGTATTCTCAGAATCAATGGATATAGTTCTATCCCTAAAAGCTTCCGCTTCATCACAATTTTATGCAGAGAAATTAAGATTAGAGAAATACATTTGTTACAATTTTAAAAATAACTAATTACGTACGTACCTGTTTAGTTCGCTTTCTCTTGAGAAAGTATACCAATTTGTTTGTGTTTTTAATTTCTATAGAAACTTCAAGTGGTGATGTTGATATATATATATAGAGAGTTAGTTGTTTCGAAACTGTTTTAATACTCGACCAATTGTCATTGTTGACTTCACTGATGTGATGTAAATGTGTGAATTTTGATTTTCAATGCAAAATTGGGAAACAGCACGCTTTGTTAATAAATAACAAAAAAAAAGAAGAGATAAATATAGTAGATCATATACTATTTCTTTTCTAAAAATAATGATGATGCAGCACTAACAAATCATATATGTTTTATTCTATTATATATAGAAATGATAGTAATGTGACATTTTATAAGAAAATAACCAGTTTTAAGAGAATCTTGTATCAATCGTTTTTAGATTTTTTAAATATAAATAAATAAATCAATTCCTCGTTTTCTAAAAGTATTGACATCAATTGTCAATTATGCTGTGATTTGTAAAAATAACAAAAACAGGTTTAGAAAAACAAAATGAACTTGTATTTTGGTCGGTCAACCATTTTGTTTTGTATTACCTAGGCATAATAAATATGAGAAATTAATGTTTTACTTTTACATATTGCTTTTTAGTTTCACGATATCAAAATGTACATAATTAGCAGTACTGTAAGAAAATAAAAATAACATTTTTCAAAATTTTGAGTAGAGTGTGCTTTCCTTGACTAGTTGACTTGAAATTGAATAATGAAGTTCAAAAGAGATGCAACGAAAATGGAACTAGTAGCTTCACTTTGAGACCATCTCTTAAACGTGCAAGCCACCAAGTTCCTTAAATTTACGTAATTATCCAACATTCCAACAAATTCTTCAATGCAGAAGTATAGTAGTAATAGTTTATGTCGTAAAATACAGTTCTAAGAGATGATATATATATATTTTTGCGTTAACATGTAATATACGTGCTAATCTTTCTAAAGTTGTTGATTTTTCGAACAAAATACCAAACATAAAAGATAGAAGATCAAAGTCAAAACAGCTTCAAAATATAAAAAGCCAAATCAAAATCCTAAAGTACATAGAACCTTATGCTTAACTAAGATAAACTGAGGTTACATAATGTCTTGGTTTTTTTAAGCTTAATTTTAATTATTTATTTTTATTAATCATTTGAAGAAAATAATATAAGAAAAATAACTAGAGTACAATATGTACCATATGATAATATGATAAATTGATTTCTACATACGGATCATTCTTTCACATTTCATTCTAATAATTTTGAGTTTAAATTATTTTATACTCCCTCTGTTTCAAAATATATGATGTTTTGTTTGAAATCACACATTTTAAGAAAATTTATTTTGCACTCTTAAAACTATCATTTAATATTTGGTTTTAAAAATTCAACCAATTAGAGAAAAGACTGCAGAATACAAACAGTAATAAAATATCAAATATATTTAAAACTGCATAGAAAATTGCAAAACATCATATATTTTGAAACAAAATAAAAACTCTAAAACATCCTATATATTCTGAATCAGAGGGAGGACTTACGTAAGTACCAAGTGAAAAAAAAATAGCAATAATAACCTTAAGGCTTGAAAATTTGAAAATGAATTGTGAAGATTATCAACATAAGAAAGAAGAAATAATATACAGAAGTAGGTTTTTGTTCTGAATGCACAAAGACCCTTTGTTTTCAATCAAATGGAACTAGTAGCTTCACTTTGAGACCATCTCCTAAACGTACAAGCAACCAAGTTCCTTCCTGCAAGTAACCCTAACTTTGTCTTTAAGATAGCTAACCCTATTCTCCCACCACCTGCAACCCCCGCACCACCATCACCATCAGTCACCGGCAGCGGATCCTCCTCAGCTACCGTCTCAAGAACTCTCTGATCACCACCATCCACAATACCCACACCACTGGTTTCATCATCATCCATACTCACCACCAACGTCATCCTCCGTTCACCCAGCCATTCCCTAACTTCACCTGTAACCAATCTACATTTCTTCACTTTCAGTTTCACCAGCTTAGGACAGCCTAAAGCCAACGCCTTGATCCCGACATCAGAAATCAGACATCCCTTGATACAGAATTTCCTCAGCGCCACACATTTCTCAGCGATACAACCAATCTCCGTGTCCCCAATCGTACCACTCCCACAAAGAGCTAACCGTTCAAGCTTCTTACAATTTGAAGCAATAGCAGACAAACTCATATACGTCGCATCAACACCGATAAGTACAAGCTCTTGCAAATTCAAGCAGTGTTTAGCTACAGATATCAAACCTTCATCACCGATCCTCTTAATCCTCAAACCATCAATGTGAAGCTTTCTCAGTAACTTACATCTCTCTACAACACAAGCTAAACCTAAATCCGAGCATTCAGGGGTTTTCACTATATGCAAAGTCTCTAAATTTGAACATTTAGATATACCAGAGAGTCCAACATCACTCACTTGAAGCCTCTCCAGATGAATCTCAGTCAAAGAACTATTCCCATCTCCATTCATTTCAAGAACTCTATCCCAATCACCTAAACACCGAATGATTCTAAGTTTTTTCAAAGTTCTTGTAGCAACCAAAGATTCAAATACCTGACCATTAACAAGCTCCTTCAAACAAATCGTTCTAAGTGAAGAAGACGAACTCAGCTTAATTGGCTCAGCCAATTCATCAATTCCTCTGATTCTCTTCACAGATAACTCCTCAAGAACCTTGCAATGCTCAAGCATCGCGTTTAATCCCTTTGCACCGAAATTACAAGAGCCACACGATAATTTCCTCAAGTTCCTACAGTTTCTAGCGAACGATTCCATTCCTAGATCCGTAATCTCGCGACAACCACGAAGCTTGACTCGAATCAGATTCGAGCAACGAATCGAGATCATGAATAAAGCTTCATCGCTCAAGCTAAAAGATCTCCGATCACAACGAAGAGCGAGCTTTGTTACGGAATCGAACCGATTGAATATACAAGGCAAGAAAGGGAGAATCTCAGCTTTAGCGTCAAGTGATAAACGGTGACGATTCTGACCGTCGACGAGTAACCACCGTTACATACGAGAGAGCATCGTTTCCGATCTCCGGCGCTGAGAAATTGAAAGACATGAGCGAGGCAATCGTCTGGTAGATTTGCCGTGAAATCGTAACCTCCGTCTTCGAAACCAATCGATTCGCAATCGAGAAATTCCGGTGACCAGAGCCATAAAGAAGTATCGCGTACGCTTGAATCCGCCGGAGACGACGGAGCTTGGCCCATTTTTGTGTGGTTGAGTATAAGGGTAAGGTTGGGTTGAGTCACGACTCACCACGACTCGTGAGTTTTTTTTTTTTTTTTTTCTCAGTACCTTTCGTTTTTAATATTTTTCTTTTTTTTTCAAGTTATTTTCTTCGAGTAGTCAACAACTATCCTTCGAGGCGACTATTTTTCTCACACGTTTGGCCCAATGGGCTTGATTCCACCAATTCATTATCTAATTTGTTGCTTTCCTTGACTTTGACCTTCAACATATATAGGCATGGTCGTTTGGTAGTCTATGTCCAAATGCGATGCGACCAACGACAACAATCAGCGATATGTTTTTTTTTTTCTTACTCGTTGCAACTAATTGATGGTCGTTGCAACACGAAAACACATAACGTCTAAATTTGGTCGTCGTTGATCGCAATGGGTCAAAAAAGCCCACTAACAATATTAATTTGTAATCGACAAAACCATTGTTTATTTGCTTCTTGTAAGTTCTAAGGCTCTAGTTACAAACTTCCAATAGTTTCGGTTTCGGATGCAAGTACTACAGTATTGAAAACACTAAGAGCAACACATGAATAATTTATTATGGGATAAATATAAAGTAAATTTCATAAAATGGAGAAGCAAAGAGAAGAATATGGAGTAGTATTTGTGGTAAGAACATTTGTGAAAACTTTTGGGAAGTTGGGTGGGTTTTGCTGGAATACACTACACTATAGGTTGAACTTGAAAGTTGAATCCATCTCTCCACATCTCGCTTAGATTCTTGAGCCATCCAAAGTAAAACTAATACTATTAAAAAGCATAGTTGATACAATACAATAAAATGATTTTTTTTAAATAACGAGATCTCACATAATATACATTTCAACGACAAAAAATGATAAAATGATATACGAATCTAGAAGAAAGAAAGAGAGATCTACAATTTTAGTGGAGATCAAATCAAATGTTTATATATGAACGTTATGTTTTTCTTTTTTTTTTTGGCAAGACTTCTCTGCTAAAGTCTTTGACAAGAGGTGCAAATTTTAGACTTGGTTTTTGGAAGATTTTAATCAGAAAGTTTTGTTCCTTATATGTAAGGGCTTCTCGTTTTTTCTTCTTGTTTATAGTTTCTGATTCCTTTATTGTGTATATGAATTTGAATTGTGACATTAAAGTTTAATATTCATTCCACAATGATACTCCAAAATGAAATTGCACATTCTGACCATATCCTAAAAGATAATTCCAAGAGGAATAGTTAAGAACATAAGAAGACTACACATTCATATCCACCTATGAACATTGACCATTAAAAATTGGGAAATAACATAAAATAAATTTTGTCGTTTACAAAAAAAAAAAAAAAACATAAAATAAATTTTGTTTCTCTATATATATATTTTGAACAAACCTCTATTTTCGAGTTATTGTAAAATGTTAGTACTATTTAGAGAAATCAGATGGTAGGCAGCTGTATGTAACAATTATTTCAATTTGAATTTAATTTTTGGTTGCTTTAGAAGTTCACCCATGCTTCAGGCTTCAGCTGTGCCTCTGTCGTGGAGTTACAATTTGATAGATTTTTTATTTTTTTATGGAGTACATAATTTTGTATAGAATATAAATTTAAAAATAAAGCCATGGCCCCATCACCAGCCTGTTTTTCACTTTTACCATTTAATTCTATTTTCTGGAAAAAAGGTAATTAAATGTTTAATTTGTGGTAAAGTAAGAAAAAACACATGTTTCAATTTTCTACGATGTGTTATGGTATTCTTATTTTTGCATATCTTCCTGTTAAATGACTATAGAACTACAATATTTCCTTAACAAATTAAAATCATTACAAAAATAATACTTATATTGATAAGTTTTTTTTTTTGCTTGTCTCTTTTTTTCCAACCGAAAATTATAGCAAGAACAGTGACGAGTGCTATAAACGGCCAACGTTTTAGGGTTGACTCAAAAAATACGGTGAGATTCAAGAGAATTCTGACACACATGGTCATTTGTGTATATTTATCTTAATACTATATGCATTATTATGAACTTGTGCCAGTAATTAGGTTGGTGGTAATGATGTTAGATTGTGTAATAATGAGAACGTACCAAAATGATGGAAAATCATGAATATATCTAACAAATTTATTTGAATTGGAGCAATGGTATAATGTTACCTCTTACCTAACATTTTTTCATCATGCTTAGTTGCTTACTAGTATCCAAATTGAACCAACATCACTAAACCATTTTTCTAGAAATATGAATTCATCATAGAGACTGAAAAATACTCGCCACTATATATTTGAGCAAAAATATATATTTTAATGAAACAAAATTACGAAATGCAAATTTGTTTTATTCTTTGTTATCCTTACAGGTAAATGCAAAATTAATTAGATAATGCAAATTATCTGTTGTGTTTGAATGTAAAATGCAAAAAATATTATCTTACACATTTTGGAATGTATAAACATTACTTTATAGTATTGTATTGTATGTAAAGAAATTGTGAATATCATGTGAGTGGTAAGCAGTTTGCTAACACAATTGACATGATTGATATTTAATATTCCAATTGTGAAATGGTTACACAAATTATCTGTTATTTTTAGCAATTTTTTTTTTTAAGTTTGTGTAACCAGTTGTTAAAAATACCCTTCATTATTAAGTATCTTATAATTTTATTTTCTTAGCGCATATATCCTAATTCTCAAGCAATTAATAATAGAAGTAACACAATCAAATGAGAGGTTATGAGATTATCTTTCTTCTTGTTAACGAAGAAAAAAGTAACATTGGCTTATATATACATTCAACTACACCAAATAAACTAGACAATCAACTTTCCCATTTATGATAAACTGATCTTCTTCTTTTTGACATCATATTAAACCGATCTAAATCGGTTTCTAAACCATATATTAAGATTAGTAAACGATATGCTAACACAATTTCATGAAAAAATATTATGTTGACATGCACAAAACAAATTGAAAAAAAAAATGAAAAAAATGAGTGCATTTAATTTACTTTAATTTTACACGAGTATGAATTTTCAACTATATATAAACTTATATGGAGTAAGATGGTATGAACAAGACTAAGTTAGCATGTTATGTTCTTTGACCCAATATGAACTAGTTAACACTGTATGAACTGTGTTAGGTGTCACTCCATTTAGTCTTACATGTTATGGACAAGAAGACCAAAAACGCATGGGATCTTAAGTATTAAAAAAGAAAATGCACAAAACACTATAAGGGGAATAGGAGCAAAGCTATGCAATACATTTAACAGCAAATGGGTGACACCTAACATCAAATAAGTTTATTATAAATGAAATATTATGTGTGCACATATCTTATAGTATTAGTGGCAGAATTAAAGAAACAAGAGGTTAGAGTAGGAGATCGAAAGTTAGCGTACGGCGTTGGTCTCTGGCAGACAAGACGCCATTATTAATTATGACCCAAAAACCTTCTTCGATCTAATCAACATAACACAACACTTACACACACATCCTCTTATTAATCTAATCAATTTCATTTTGGTTTTTATTTTATTAAACAAAAATACCCTCTTACACTTCTTATCTTCTAGCTTCTTGACCATTAAATAAAAGGTTACCGTCCGGATTCTTGGACCATTATTATAAATAACTCTTGTCTCCTCTAGATTGCAACCTTTATTTTTCATTATTTATAATTTAATAATTTCTTTTAATAAGAAAACTTGTTCCAAATTTAGAGCTAAAGTTTTAAAGATAAAGCGTTATTTAATATGTTCTCACCAAAAAAAAAAAAAGCGTTATTTAATATGTATATACCTTTTTTAATATATGTAATCTTTTTTATAAAATTTATCTTATTATTGAAAGATCGATAAAATATATCTAAATTCTAAAGTAAGATCAACGATCAAAATGACTAACCGATGACATAAAAAATCAAGAAAGATTCAAAAAATTGTTAATAAATATCATTATATTTATATTGCTCTTAATTAGTAAATTTCGGTTGCTCCAATAATTATACAAGAGAATATAACTAGTACAATTATTTTCATAAGAATTATATACTTTCATCAACTTATGGATCGAAATCAATACTTATCGTATTATTAGTAAAAAACTGAAAATTTGTATCGTTCAAATGTTTCAATATGAAAATCGTCAATCAAAGAGTTATAAACTTGTGTGACCCATTGGTAAAACAATTACATATCGTAGAAGTATTCGGCCAATACACAAAAAAAAAAAAAAAAAAAACATAATAGAACAAATGGAATATTTTTTTTATAAAGACTATGAAGAGACAACATTTTAAAGCGATGATATTAGGAATTTCTTTGTTTTTCTTTTTTCTTTTGAAAAGATATGAAATGTGGAAATGAGAAGTCGCTGTTAAACTTTGTACAAATCTCAGACTCTCCCGCTTGTTACCAATGGCCTGAGCTTCCTCTCGTGATTTACTTTTCCCCATTCCCTTATTTATTTGTCTTTTGCTTTTTCATTTTTTTACCACACATTGCTTTCTTTCACAATCGATAAAGATCATCAATATATATATATGTGTTATAAAAATATAACAATTGTTGCTTTGTTAACCGCGTCTAGGTCGATAGGAACGCAGTAAACGTGACAACAGGATCATTCACTTCACTCTGCTTATAAACACTTTTACTATTATAAGAAAATTATACATGTAAATATACCGACTAAAACATTATAAAATACATCTTTCAGTAGTTCACTATTCAGCATTAAATTTTAAACCGAATTTTACTTTATTTTACCCCTTTTTTTTTTAATTCCCTTGTTTTGTAGTACTAACTATAATGTATGTTCCATCACAACTATATCATATTATTTATGTATAAGTTGCATGTATGTATCTTGAATGCTAAAGTTTGGTACAACTTTTTTTACGTGTACAACGAATACATTTACATTTTAATCGGCTTTTCTGTGTCCTCAGTCTTTAGTTTTTAGCATATAAAGCAGTGAGAATTAAAATTGAAATGCTCATCAAGATCAAGCTATTATATTTAAATATTAACTTTATACAGGATACATAAAGAAAATTAATTAAACTAATTTAATAATAAAGCGCAAGCGTTTTAACAGAACGAGGTCCTTTTTCTTTTAATTAACTATGTTTTGCTTTTTCTAATGGTTTATGTCAGCTCGTTGACCATATAAAGCTTCCCATTCGTCCACGTGGACTTTTCTCTGACATATGTGACCCCACGAATGATTTTATATGATTAAATCAAATTTGAATCTTCCTTTCCGTATAACATAAATTAATTCACCAAAAAAAAGTGAAAAATAAAATAAAATTGATGGAACTCATAAATTTTGTATTTTGATTTTTCCAACATTTTATACTCGATGTAACACACAATAATTACCCAAAAATAATTAAAAAATCTCTATACACTAAATACAAAAACACTGACTTTACACATTACGATAATTCAAAGTTTTAGTAAAATTATACTATGTTTTTAATACCAAAATCAAAGAACTAATGACGAAAAAAAAAAAAAACTCTTTTTACTTGTAATCATCGATGCTCAAAACCGAAAGGTGACAAATATAATTAATGGTCAACGCATTTATCCACCACTGAAACTTCCCACCACCACCTCATAAGCTCGTGAACCACACGCTCTAACAGAGAGCATCTTTAGTCGTATCCAACGAACAGGGATCAAAAGCGTGTAACTACACACGTGATTAGCGCGTGAGTATAAGCTTTTTCGTAATAATACGTATTTTTTGAAAAACCAACGATTTTAATTAGTTTTTTAATTTTAACGCAATTAATTCATCGTTATGATTTCAATTTATACTGTTAGTTTATTAATTATGGAGTTAGAAAATTAAATAAAAAAGAAAGATTTTTCCATTTCTGTGCATAAAACAAAGAAGAAGTACGGTTTCATTAATTTTCTCGCGCGCCAAACATCCGAATAATAAAAGACAAAAAAAAATGGAGAGAGAGAAAATAAAATAATAAAATAAAAACAAAATCTTTTAATAAAAAGAAAAAAAAAAGAGGACAAGCGTGAAATAAAACCCTTCACTTTCTTTGGCATTTGTCTTCACTTCTTCTATCTCTCTCTCTCACACACAGAAGCAGAATCCAGAGAGTCTCTAATGGCAGAATGAACAAAGGAATTAACAATCTCCTTCTTCTCGGAAGAGAAAGATCATGGCTTTAGAAGAAGAAGAAGAGAGTCAAAACGCACCGTTTTGTGTTCTTGATGGTCTTTTCTGTGAGGAAGAGAGTGAGTTTGAGGAACAAGAAGCAGATTTGTGCGACGAGAGTGTCAAAAAGTTTCCGTTTTTACATCTGGGTTTGTCTGATCATGATATGTTTTGGGATGATGATGAGTTATTAACTTTGATTTCGAAACAAGAACCGTGTCTTTATGACGAAATCTTAGATGATGAGTTTCTGGTTCTGTGTCGTGAAAAGGCTCTTGATTGGATTTTCAAAGTGAAATCTCATTATGGGTTTAATTCATTGACGGCTCTTTTAGCTGTTAATTACTTCGATAGGTTTATTACAAGCAGGAAGTTTCAGACAGATAAGCCATGGATGTCTCAGCTTACTGCTTTGGCTTGTCTGTCTTTAGCTGCTAAGGTTGAAGAGATCCGAGTTCCTTTACTCTTAGATTTTCAAGTAAAGTTTCTCACTTTCTCAGATTCAATTTTTATCTTTTTGTGAAATTGCCGATTTTGAGACTTTATTTTGAAGGTGGAAGAAGCAAGATATGTCTTTGAGGCTAAGACTATACAGAGAATGGAGCTTCTTGTTTTGTCTACTCTTGAGTGGAAGATGCATCCTGTGACTGCAATCTCGTTTTTCGATCACATTATTCGACGATACAGCTTTAAATCTCATCAGCAATTGGAGTTCTTGAGTAGATGTGAATCGTTGTTGCTCTCCATTGTTCCTGGTAATGTTTATCATTAGATTTACATCTCTTTGAGGCTTACTTGATTTCAATCTTGGATGCTAAATTCTTGTTCTTGGTTTTCTCAGATTCGAGGTTTCTGAGGTTTAGTCCTTCTGTGTTAGCCACTGCAATAATGGTCTCTGTCATTAGAGATTTCAAGATGTGTGACGAAGCTGATTACCAATCTCAGCTCATGACTCTACTCAAAGTTGATTCGGTATGTGGTTTCGGTATCAATAAATGCCAATGTAGTAAGTGTAAGGAATAAGGATCAAGAACTGATTCGATTATCATTTTACTTAAACAGGAGAAAGTAAATAAATGCTATGAGTTAGTGTTAGACCACAGTCCAAGCAATAAAAGGATGATGAATTGGATGCAACAACCCGCTAGTCCGATCGGGGTGTTTGATGCGTCATTCAGTTCTGATAGCTCGAATGAGTCCTGGGTTGTGTCTGCTTCTGCTTCAGTGTCGTCTTCACCATCTTCAGAGCCTTTGCTAAAGAGGAGAAGAGTGCAAGAGCAGCAGATGAGGTTATCTTCAATAAACCGAATGTTTCTCGATGTGCTTAGTAGTAGTCCTCGCTAATAATGTCTCGATTTAGTTACTTAAAATCTGTTTCCATGTTTTACATATTATCGGCTATGTGGTACGGTTGAAACATTTATGTGTTGTTACTCGGTTCTTGTGTTTATGGACGGTTGCAAATGGTGTTCTTTTCGTTATTTGATAATCGAAAAACAAAGTTCTTTCGTTTACATTAAAAGTTTCCTTTATGATCTACCTGTGTCATGGTTTGATGATGGTCTAATTTCATCTCAAAATCTCTGCATTTTGCTAATAGAAAGTTAAACAGTCAAAGATTATTCACCAACATTACCATTTACACTGTTGGTATTGGTCTAAAACATGATGTTTTAAACATCACATACATTATTGTTTAGTACTTAGTACAAGTATGTGGAACTATGTCCTTTGAATTGAAGAGACAACTATTGAGTTAGTTGGATGACCAATAGTGTTGGACAACTAGAGAGTAGGCCTGGGCATTCGGGTACCCGTTCGGGTTCGGTTCTTTTTTTCGGGTATCGGGTCTATTCGGGTAGGGGGTCAAGACCCATTCGGGTATTCTAAAAATTCGGTTCGGGTTCGGTTCGGGTTCGGGTGTTTTAATAAAAAAAAAGCAAAATACCCGAAAATAACCAAAAATACCCGAAATATTTTCGGGTTCGGGTCGGGTTCGGGTTTTTAACTCATATATACCCAAATCTAACCGAAATACCCGATTTCTCGAAAATACATTGGTTACTCTGTACCCAAATATAACCAAAAATATCTAAAACACCTAATATATTCGGATTTATGATTGTAATTTTAGGTATTTCGGGTATTATAAATATAAATATAACTAATATTTTTAGGTGTATATTTGTATTCGGGTACATTCGGGTACATTCGGGTATTGGATTCGGTTCGGGTTCGGTTCGGGTTTTTTTCGGGTAGGAGGTTAGGACCCATTTGGGTATTTTTAAAAATCGGGTTCGGGTTCGGTTCGGATATTGTTCGGGTTTTTCGGTTCGGGTATTCGGTTCCAGGTATTTTGCCCAGGCCTACTAGAGAGTTTGTTAGCTCCTCCTCCAATATTTATATTTATATTTTGTAATTTATTTTGGTTCCTAACTTCCTATTTTTGGGGGGTTTGATTTGAGAGGAAATGCAGAGAGACCAACACTTGGGTTGGTCCAAGTACTTGTGTTCTATTCAGTTGTGGTGAAAAGCAAACAGGTTGGGATATACACATAACATACGTACACATATCACTTTATCTACTTCTTGCCATTGCTATGTCATGTCAAAACATTAAATAAACACCTTCCATGAAGAGTCTTGTTATCACACAGGACCAAATAGCATTGAAGAGATTCAACAGAAAACAAAATTGAAGCTTTTAGTTGAACTAGAGTGAATGTACCAAAACCAAACCACTCATAAAACTTTGGTTCTGTCATCTCAGAGATCTTATGTGAAACTTTATATTTAATACTTCAAGAAACAAAGAGAAAAAAACCCAACACAAATTATGAACTCTAAAGACATAAATCATGAATGTTAAAGAGTCAATCGTTCCCCTAAGGCAAACATATGCATATTATTAATCAGTGTATCATTAACAGGATCGACCTAATTAAGATTATTTGTCGCTTCAGAGTGATTTTTCTTTAGCAAATTCTAATAGAAAAAGTTTGAAATTTTGGATCATTAGTTCAGATAACAAGTCGGGTTTTTTTACAACACTCTCACTAATTCCAATAAAAACAAAAACAAATTCGGAGTCCGAAAAATTTGGGTAGGATAGTTTTGAATGTTCGAGTTTTTTTTTTTTTTTTTTTAATCGTTGGGTACGGGCTATCGCACCTCCGTCCACCCACATGAACCCAACCTGAATATCAAACATCTTAAACTTATGAATCTATTAATTTGGTGGGACCTGGAATTATCAAATTATGACATTCATTACAAACCAAAGTTTTCATCATCATTTCTGATTATGATGAGTCCACTGAAAATCCAACATTTGATCTTTCCAATATTCATTACTAGACAGCTAAGAGACGACTAAAGAAACACAGTCCTAAAGTTAAAAATCTCATAGTCTCAAACATTTCGAGAAGTCATATCTTCGTCGACGTATTAGACCCTAAATCTTGAATCAAGCATGCAAACTATTAACTAAGTATCATATGAGGTTCCATAATGTTTGAAATAAAATAGCACTCCGAATCTCAAAATGATGATTAATCTTAACTTGGACCAACTTAAACTAGATGACATCACTAGATGATGACGTATTTGATGATATACGTTTTGGGCCAAAAGTTAACCAAGGAAGATTTATACGGCCCATTCAGTATAAATCGTTTTCTTGATACTGAATTCTGACCGGTTTAACCATTGACAGGTTTAGAAGCACACGTGCATGTAAGTAGTATACACGTGGGTGTTTCACATGAAATATCCTACACGTGTTGTTGACAGTACGGAAAAGTCTTTAGTTGGCGAATAAGCGGCTAAATTTCAAAGTGAAGCCGTTTAATGTATACAGAGCCGTGGCCACGTTAGCAAATTTGAAACACTAGCCTACGGCCTCCTTCCATGAAAAACAAACATTAAGGCCTTAAATTTTTTATAAGCTTTAATGTATGTAACGATAATTATGCGCAGATGATATTGCATGGATTTAAGTTTGACTTTTTTAATTATGTAATAATTAATAAAAGGAAGTAAAAAGAAGAAGAAATGGAAACATGTATGAAACAACACCCACTAACCATACTCTTAAAATAAACAATTAAATTTCTTCTTATTTTACTTCCATTTCTTACTCAATTTCTTCATTTTATTTTGTTTATTTTATATCTAAAAATTTAGACTCTTTGATGTAATGTTCTTCATATTTAAAATTTGTCTTTTTTCTTTAGTATTTTTTTGTCTACAACCTCTCTAAAGAATTTAAACAGAAATGTTTTCTGTAAATATAAAATGTTTATAGATTGAACATATTACATGATATATTATAATATAGAACCAATTGAACACTAAATCTCATTAAAAAAAAAAATGGTATGTAAAAATAAAAATTGGTATGTATAGTGTCGTCGGTCAAAAGTAAAAATGTAATGGATACTTTTGTCTTTAGACTCATTACATGTACTTCTATGTATTTGCCTTTTGATCTCCTGAATTTTGTGATTATTTTTTTAGCTACGAAAAGTTTTAGATATTAAGAAAAGAATCAACAGACTATATGAAAAATAACAAAAAGATGGGACATTTAGTGATGTTTAACTTGTACATTAGTATGCTCTCAAACAAAACAAAATTTGTACATTAGTAATCACAAATATATATATATATATATATATATATATATATATCATTCTAAAATAATAAATTTATACATTCATACAAACTTAAGTTTTTGTTGTTGTTTTGGTCATAGTTGTTCTTAAAGAGATAAAATTGTTGGTCAAGTGATTAGTAAATATATCCAAAATGCAGTTACAATTGACGATATGATTCGAATTGGTCCTACATCGCAGAGAGGGAGCAAGGGATTATACAATCTCTTACTACATCAATATTAATCTTTGCAGCTACACTGTCATGCCCTTACATGAGCTTCATTACACATTAAATTTCGTTGGAGGAGAGTGGTATCGAACCCATGCTACCAAGTGAGCTTGGCTAAATGGAACAACTATCACTCTATATGACTCACCGCAACAACAATAATATCCTAATAAATCTATTACTTGTATATGTTTAGGAAACATCAAACATATATGTTCATGCGAATTTTTGGGGACAAGATTAACAATATTCATTCATATAAAATTCCACTAAATGTTAAGCGAATTGGGGTTTGTCTATTAACTCGAAAGTCTATAATGATATATACAATGAACTCAGTCACATATTTGTTTTCCGCCTATTACACCGACTAGCCTACCACCGTGTGTTAATATTATCTTTTTGTTAATTTAAAGCTTATCGTTGTTTAGATATATCAAACGATTTTGTTAGGCAAACCTTACAAAAATTAATTAAAAATTAGGAGAACAAACCCGACAATCGAAGCATGGAACGTAACAACAAACAGCAGATTATGTAGTTTTATTTATATATTCACATCGTGCACCGTCTTGTTCCTTTTGACAACAACCTATTACCAATATTCTAATTACAATTTTTCTAAGACACACATTGTTGGAATTATTCCACATCGTGCACCGTCTCTCAGATATATGTGTTCACCAAATGTTCACGTGCATCTTTCAAAATCTAGCTAAGTGTACAGCAAAAGTACGTGTCAATTATACATTGACCCAAATAAAATGTTAGATCGGAAGTAAAATGGATCTTAATAATGTATTAAGTGACACGAACCGATTTACTAATTTAGTAATTCTCGTATCAGTTTACATTATAAGCCAATGAAGCGGTATTAAAGCCAGGTTTGATCCATAGCTTAGCTATGATACATTAATGTCTAATTATTTTGATTTAAAAGTTTACAAAACTTAACATGGTATTATTGTTTAATTCAATTAATCCAAATTAAAAAAATCCTAAATAAGATATTTTTGTGGATCATGTAGTCAGATTTCAATTCGAAATAGACCAAACAAACCATTATTTAGATAGGACATGTTAGAAATCTTAGATAGAATGGAAATGTCTTTTTAGTCAAATGCTTAAGTCCATTTGACTCCGTTTTTCTTATCGGAGTTCGATTCCACTAAATCACATTAACCCGCGTAGTAGAAATTAGTTATAGATCGAACATTGTCTATCCAAAGATATAAAAAAAAAAAAAATCTTAGATAGAATGTGAATAAACCACATAATAATAAAAAGTAAACATTATAGTTAATTTTTATCAACAAGTGAGTATATAAACAAGGGCTGACCATGAATTTTGTGAGACCAAAAATATTTACGATATTTTTATGTCTATCAGGATATGATGATTTATGCATATTACTTCTTTAAATTTTTTTGGCCAAAACCATGTTTCGTCCGCCTATTTTATATATATAATTTTTTTTTTTTTATAAGAATGTATAAGTAGGAAAGAAATAACCATTAAGAGAGAGTTTGGTCAGTAAACTGAAAACCAACAACATCAAAAACTGAAATAATTTCGGTAATCCGTTTATAATTTGACATTATAAAAATCGTTTTTGAAATTAGTTTGTTACTAATTTGACATAAAAGACGGAAAAAAGATAAAATAAAAAAATAGTTGTGAAACCGTTTGAGGAAGGTTGGGAAGAAGGTGCAAATGACGTTGAGAGTATTATTTAAAGTGCGTTACTAACGTTAGAGACAGTTACACACAATTTCAAATAAAACAGTCCAAAAAAACTGACACGTGGCAGTTTGCTTAATGGACGACAGTTAGTTGTTTGTTGAGGATTACAGCCTGGATTTTTGCCAATCAAAAACTATATATTATAAATAAATAGTATGATTTTCATTCACATTCCAGTTTGCCTAACACTCTTTTGTCGTTTTCTTCATGTCATCAAAATTAAATGTTTTTTTTTTTTTCCGACCACTTACTTTTTATCTTGTGTGGCCGTTTCTTTGTAACAAGTTTATGAAACAGAGAATATTAATCGTATTTAATCATATAAATGTAGTTTCCTAAATGGTGTATGACTTTGAATTGGGACACTAAAAACGTACCATATCTAATTACAAATGGTCTTTCAAAAAAACCGAAAACGAAAAAGCTGAACTACATTTCTATACACATTATTTTATATGATGAAAATTAACAGTTTTTCCATGTTAGCTACTATTCCTAAATTTGTAGCATTCAGCAGTTTAAAACTAAACTTTTTCAGTCAGGAAAATAAAACATATTAATTTTATCGCTCAAAACATATTAATTGATAAGCACTTTCAATACTTTAAAATTTTATCAGTTAAAGTCTATACATCTAAAATATATAGTCAATATTTTAACAACTAAAACTAAAAATAATAATCGTTTCCAATAGATCCTTACTATTCAGCAAGTTAAAAATAGTTAATATTAACAAAAAAAATCTAATCAAAATTTAATTTTTCATTAGTACCTGCTCAATAATTATACTTTAACCATATGTGATTCAAAAACAATTCAAAATTAGACGTTTTGTATTCTCACAATAGATAAAAAAAAAATGAATAACATACTAAAATATAACGGTAACGAATAGAAAAAAGTATACAAAATAATAATTTCAGTGGTCAGAAGCGTTACAAATATAGTTTTAAGTACAACCAATTTAGAGCGTTACGAATATAGTTTTAAGTTCAACCAGTCAAATATTTTTAAAAAATTAATTAAAAGTTTTTCCGTTTCAAACTATATGTCGTTTTCGATTTAATTTTTTGTGTCAGATGAAATGTCGTTTTATACTTTCATGTAGATTTTTGACAAAATTTCTAATTCTGTTTTTATTATTCAAATGTATTAGCCAATTAAACAATAATACAGTATATTAACAAAAATATAATTTTTTTTAATATATGAGAAAACATTTTTTTTTTCCTAAAAACTGTGATCAAATTTTAATCTCCAATATTTCCCGGTCCATTACTTTAAACCTTATGTAGTTAAAAAAAAAATTCAAATTAAACGTTTTGTATTCTCCAAGATAAATAAAAGGAAAAAAGTTTCAGAAAAAGGTAAATTAGTATACAGGCTGGCGTGTCCAGTCAAAAAAGTCAGAAATCTGCATAAAAAAACTGTCTTTACCCAAACGGCCAAACCTAACCGTTATCGTTTCAGATATTTTATTAATTTCAAATAAAATTCAAAACAGCTTTCTAATTTTTCACCTCAGATTGTGCGAATAATATCAGAGCTCCTTTCCTTGTAGGTTTCCGTGATTTTGTCGCTTTAACTTCCCAACTTACCCCACTCGCTTCTCACGCGCGTGTATCCACTTCTCTTTCGCTTTCTCTCCCTCGACTGTATCACACGCTCCATATAACAAAAAACAGACGCAGCGAGATCACGACACGTGTTCACCTACAGCTGTATCCCAAAACTTTCAAAACCGCTTGCGTGGAAGAAGCGGTGCCCTTGGGGCCATGACTTTCTCCACCGTCTCTACCGGTTACCGGTTATTATCCTCCTCTCTATCTCTCTCTCTGTTATAAATACCTTTTTTCTCCTCTCTTCAGTTTCCTCCAACCTTCTTCTTCTTCTCTGAACAAACAAAAAAAGATCTGTTTCAATGGCGGATCGTGTTAAAGGTCCATGGAGTCAAGAAGAAGATGAGCAGCTACGTAGGATGGTGGAGAAATACGGTCCGAGGAATTGGTCGGCGATTAGCAAATCGATTCCAGGTCGATCTGGTAAATCGTGTAGATTACGGTGGTGTAATCAGTTATCCCCGGAGGTTGAGCATCGTCCTTTCTCGCCGGAGGAGGATGAGACTATTGTAACGGCTCGTGCTAAGTTTGGTAACAAATGGGCGACGATTGCTCGTCTTCTCAACGGTCGTACGGATAACGCCGTTAAAAATCACTGGAACTCGACGCTTAAGAGGAAATGCAGCGGAGGTGTGGCGGCGGTGACGGCGATGACGGTGACGGAGACGGATGAGGAGGAGGATCGGCCGAAGAAGAGGAGATCTGTTAGCTTTGATTCTGCTTTTGCTCCGGTGGATACTGAGAGTCCTAATGGATTCGATGTTAGTGATTCAAGCACGATTCCGTCTCCGTCGTCTCCGGTTGCTCAGCTTTTTAAACCAATGCCGATTTCCGGCGGATTCTCCGGTGTTCCCCCTCCGCCGTTACCGGTTGAAATGTCTTCGTCTTCTGAGGATCCGACGACTTCGTTGAGTTTGTCACTACCTGGAGCTGAGAACACGAGTTCGAGCTACATCAACAACATCAACAACAACAACAACGCGTTGATGTTTCCGAGATTTGAGAGTCAGATGAAGATTAATGTAGAGGAGAGAGGAGGAGGAGAAGGACGTAGAGGTGAGTTTATGACGGTGGTGCAAGAGATGATTAAAGCTGAAGTGAGGAGTTACATGGCGGAGATGCAGAGAACGAGTGGTGGTGGATTCGTCGTCGGAGGTTTTAGGGATTGTGGAATAATAACACCTAAGGTTGAGTAGGTTTTGGACTTTGGTTTAGGAACTCGAATCGATTGGGGATTTTCAAAAGCATTCATTTTTGGGTTTATGGTTAAATAAATTATAAAAAAAATGTACAGAGGAATTAAAATTTCTATGGAATAATCTTAAATCTCAAATGTCTCTCTTTTGTTACTGGTGTTGATGATATAGAACCAAAATCTATATATAACAAGTTAGTAACTAAATTTAAATATTGAACCATGATTAGTGAGACATTATCACACAATGCGACCTATACTGAGTTAGTCAACAAAATGTAGGATAACAAGAAATATTCTTACATATTCTCTAGAATAATTCCATGTTTATATAAATCCTCATATAGTAATAGTGCTATATAGTAATCGTGATTAGTGAGACCTTGTAACATGACATAGCCAAAGTTTAGATTCTAGAATAATTTCTGTATAAACCATTACACGGTCAAATCAGATTTTTCTAACATACTTATTTATACAATTTACAGAAATTTTCTATAGTCTTGCGAAAATTAATGAATTTCTAGAAAATCATTTTTTTACTTTTTAAATCTATAAAGCCTGTTTCTACATTTTTTTTTTTTATTGTGAAGATTTTTAAAATTTATGCAGTATATAAAAAAAAACGTTTGTACAGTGATGTTAAAAGAAAAAGATTAGAAAAGCGCGTTAAAAAGTAAAAACCCAAAACTACGTCGTTCTGGGTTTTGTCTCAAAAGCAAAAGCGGCTTTGTTTCCCGTAGATCTAAAGTTTACGTTCGACTCTCTCCTCTTCCCTCACTCAGCTATTTTTATTCCCCTCCAATTTTCTCCGACGGTACGGTCAAATCACATCGGAAAATTCAACCGGAAGATCAAATGGCACTGCCGTCGATCTCATCAATCGGCGCTACATTCTCAATCCTAATCTATTTCTTCTCTCTTCCTTATTCAATCACAGCTGGTGAAAACAACCTCCACCATTCTCCCTCCGCTAGATCACGACGTCCCTTGGTGTTCCCATTGTTCCTCTCTCAACCAAATTCTTCTTCTTCTAGATCCATCTCAATTCCCCATCGAAAACTCCACAAATCCGACTCAAAATCACTGCCTCACTCTCGCATGAGACTCTACGACGATCTTCTTATTAACGGGTAAAAACTTCAGATATTTTCCCGATCTGGGCCGTGTAAAGATGTCTCCTTTATACTATTATCAAAATTTGTAGGTATTACACAACGAGGCTTTGGATTGGTACACCGCCACAAATGTTTGCTCTTATAGTTGATTCTGGAAGTACTGTTACTTATGTTCCTTGTTCTGATTGTGAACAATGTGGCAAACACCAGGTAATACTCACTTATTCAAAATATCAAATCTTGTGTCTTGTCTCGTGTAAAGTTCAATTTTTTAGACTTTCTTTTGGTTATTGATCAGGACCCGAAATTTCAGCCAGAATTGTCTAGTACTTATCAACCTGTGAAGTGTAACATGGACTGTAATTGTGATGATGATAAGGAACAATGTGTTTACGAGAGAGAGTATGCGGAACATAGTAGTAGTAAAGGTGTGCTTGGAGAAGATCTTATATCATTTGGCAATGAAAGCCAGCTGACACCTCAACGAGCTGTTTTCGGTTGTGAAACTGTTGAAACCGGTGATCTTTATAGTCAACGTGCTGATGGAATTATCGGATTAGGTCAAGGGGATCTTAGTCTTGTGGATCAATTGGTGGATAAAGGTTTGATAAGCAACTCTTTTGGTTTGTGTTATGGAGGGATGGATGTTGGTGGAGGTTCGATGATTCTTGGCGGTTTTGATTATCCATCTGATATGATATTCACGGACTCGGACCCTGATCGTAGGTATGTTTCCAAGGGGAATGCTTTGTCTGATTGGTGAATGGGATCTTGTATAATCCTAACAAATACGTTTAATACATTTCACACATTTACTCTAGTTTCGGGATGGCGACAGTCCATATTACAATATAGATTTGACGGGGATACGTGTTGCTGGGAAGAAATTGTCGCTTAATTCTAGAGTCTTTGATGGGGAACATGGCGCCGTTTTAGACAGTGGTACAACATATGCTTATCTTCCAGACGCAGCATTTGCGGCATTTGAGGAAGCTGTAAGACTTTTTTTGTTTTATACCCTTATAACTCTTCTGAGAGTTGTTAATGTTTGGTTAAGTTCCCTGTTTCTGTGTCCCTTTTCTTACATTAGGATCTTATCTTATTCTTTTGAAGGTAATGAGAGAAGTTTCCCCATTGAAGCAGATTGATGGTCCTGATCCAAATTTTAAAGATACTTGCTTCCTTGTCGCTGCAAGGTATTTGTTATCTCTTGCAAACTTGTGATCTATATCATAACTTTCAATCAAGGGAAGTAACTGACTGTTAAATTGGTTTATGCTGAAGTAATGATGTCTCCGAACTTTCGAAGATATTCCCATCAGTCGAGATGATATTTAAGAGTGGGCAGTCATGGCTGTTGTCCCCTGAAAATTACATGTTTCGAGTAAGAATTTTGGCTCTAAAACCTCTTATGAAGTTACATTTGATCTCTATAGCTAGCATTATAGTCTCTCTGTGTCTGGTGTTGGTTTAGCCTGAAATCAGCAGCTGATATCAAGTTTCTGATGTGATTACTTTTTATTCAACAAAAGCATTCCAAGGTGCATGGCGCATACTGTCTCGGTGTTTTTCCAAATGGAAAAGATCATACAACTCTTTTAGGAGGTAAATAGATGTCATGACTCTGTTATTTTTCTTTCTCTGGCTACCTTCATTTGTTTTCATTGTATTGCCAACAGATTTATTGGTTACAAATTATCTTAAATTATCAGGAATTGTGGTTCGCAATACACTTGTTGTGTATGATCGTGAGAATTCTAAGGTTGGATTCTGGAGAACCAATTGTTCGGAGTTATCGGATAGGCTTCATATCGATGGTGCACCACCACCTGCTACTTTGCCTTCAAATGGTTCAAATCCATCCCGCAATTCATCAAGCGATATCCAAGGTTAGCGCAGCACCCTAAGATTTCATCTTAACTCTGTTGTCTTGGAAATTGCATCCTGAAAAAGAAACTATTTCTGTGTCTCCTGATGTTTTTAACGGTGTGGCACTAATTACCTCAGGGGAGATTCAAATTGGTCAAATAAACCTTGATTTGCAACTAACAGTCAATTCGTCCTATCTGAAACCTCGCATTGAAGAGCTCTCCAAGATATTCTCCAAGGAGCTCGATGTCAAATCTTCACAGGTGAGCCAAACTGATAACCACACAATAACTTGTAAAGCCTTAAGCACTGTGTTTGCTAATATTGGGTGAAAATGTCTCTGTCACAGGTCAGTTTATCGAATCTCACCTCCAAAGGAAACGAGTCTCTCATCAGAATGGTTGTTGTTCCTCCTGAACCTTCTACTTGGTTTTCAAATGTCACAGCAAGGGTAACGATTACACAACAGACTTCGCCTTACATTGCTCAATTTTTATCCTCTCACATGACATTCCATTATGCTTCTTGTAGAATATAGTATCCCGGTTTACCAATCATCAAATCAAGCTTCCTGAAATCTTCGGAAACTATCAGCTGGTTAATTACAAACTCGAGCCTCCAAGAAAATGGTACGCGCCATTCATTCTTAACCGTAGCTAAACGATTATCACTCATTGTCTCAAAAAGAAAATTATTTTCCTTTCGTGTCTAGGACGAATAACAACATTACCGTGATCGCGATTGGGATCATCCCTGTAATTATCGGATTATCAGCTTATGGAGCTTGGTTGATATGGAAACGGAAACAAACATCAATTCCATACAAACCTGTTGATGAAGCTATAGTAGCTGAGCAAGAACTGCAACCTATATAATAAAGAACTTGGTGGTACCTTATTTTTATATTCTCATCTTTTTCATACAAAAGCAAAGCTGTTTGGTCTTATTCAAGAAAAAAAAACAGAATCCCAACTGTCTTACTGATCTTTATTGTTTAGTAAATAATGCCAACTTTTCGTTTTAATTTATGAAGCTTCTCCTTTGGTTTAGTTTATTGTTTTATTATGGAAAAAGGATCTCCTTTTGTATATAGATTTTTAAAGCATTAATTCTTATACTAGTTAGTTTTTTTTTTTCAATTTCAAAACTAAACTAAAAGTATAATAAAAATCATTAATAATAAATTAAGATATTAAAATTTAAACTAAAACCGGAAAATCTTATTAGAATCAATTAATTAAGGGAATTGCTTATTTTTACATTGTCAATTAAAAGACATTAACTTCTTATTTGATTTATTTAAATACAAAATAATTCTACTACTTAATATTTTTCAACAACAAAAAATTCCTACAATGAAAATCATTAGAATCAAACACAATACATATGACTTTCATTAGGAAATAATATGCAAAACAATTGAATGTATAACTCTTTAGTCTAAATTTTGCACGGTAAAAAATATTTAATTCAAAATTGATATTTTATTTAAGGTTTAATACATAAGAAGTTAATATTTTTTAATTGATAATATAAAAGGAAACAATTTCCTTACTTAATTGATTATAATAAGATTTTTTGAGTTTTAATTTAAATTTTAATATCTTAAAAATTTATAAATTAGTTTTTATTATTCCTTTTTTTTCAGCAAAAACAAACTTTCATTGATTTAAAAGAGTTATTACAAAGACAGTTACAGAATTACTAGAACACAATTATTACATACGCAAATTTTATTAGTTTTTATAATTCCTTTAGTTTAGTTTTGAAATTGAAAAACTAAATATTATAAGAATTAATGCATTATATATATATATATATCTTTATATTGGATACATAATGTGTTTTTTAATTATACAACACCAAATAATTTTTTTTTGTTTTTATTTTATTTTAAAAATAAATAAAAATATGGTTTTTAAATATTTTTGCTGGTCAACGTCAATATTCGCTGGCCATGCAATAGCTGAGGATACAACAGTTTGTGTTCTCGGCATATGTGACCATGTGCATTCAGTTCCTAAAAATGGACACAAATGTATTGAATTTAACTAATTCAAAATAAGAGAAAAAAAGGAATCCATTTAATATTTTTTAGGCAGTAATATATTAATTGCTCATGCTGTCAAAAAATTTAGAAAGATCATTTGAGAATCAAGAAAAATCTCAAAATAGGGAAACTAAATAAACCAAAAAGGGAAAAAGAATATTGAATAAATTAGTTTTAGCAAAACCAAAAAAAAATGTTTTAGAAAAATTATTATTAACAGGTTTTTACATATATAAAAAACAAAAATCAAAATAATGTTTTGCAACAACATTGCCAAATTAAATTGGGATTAAAAACCTTCAAAATATTCTTTTAGATTCAGTAATATCGATCAAATCGTCGGTCTCTCAGAAATAGTTGCTGAGTATCTTCTTCTCTCTTCTCTGTTTCTATAGCTCCTAGGGAGTGCCGGTCCGATAATTTTAAGTGCCCTACGCAAAATCTTAAAAAGCATACACTTTCCATATAAATAAATCACAATAAACCTTTATGATTTGACAAATTTTTTCATAAAAAATTAAAAATCAAAGCCAAGACATTAGATTTAATTGAAAAGTTTTTTCTTTTGAAATATATATATTTTCAGCAAAATAGTGTTTCTTATGTCAAGATAAACATACTTTATTGAATTATAATTTTACAATTAAAGATAATAATTAATTTGTAACTTTGTATTTAAAAGCCCATAAGTTTTTATTAAAAGGTCCTACAAAACTATTTATAGGTTTTATAATATTAAGAAAGGGTTTTTAGTAATAAAACCCCTCAACTAAAGATGAATCGTAAAGAAACCCCTCAACTTTAAATATGTTCATGAAAATTCTCCATCATCTCCGGTGTCGTGAAAATTGGACGGATTACAGTTAAATTTAAACTGAAAAACGACATATATACACTTAAACAACATGAATTATAAACAAAAACAACAATTTTTTTTTCTATCTGATTATTAATCCTCAAACCTAAGTTCTAAAATTCTCAATGTGAAAAATCTAAATTGATGAACCCTAATTTATTGTAGTAAGATTTTCTGAAGTTTATGTAGGGTAGAAGTCGATTAGGAGAGATTCTGAAAAATGTTACGTTTTAATTTGAACTGTAGTCCGTCCAATTTTCACGATACAGTAGACAGAGAGAAATTTGCATGAATATATTTAAAGTTCAGAGGTTTTTCCACTAAATATATAATTGAAGGGTTTTCTTACTATTTATTTTTGAGGAGTTTTATTACTAAAAACCTATTAAAATTTTTTTAACAAGTTTTTAAATTTTGAGGCCCGAATCATGGCTTCAGGGGCTTGCCTGGGCCGGGCCTGCCTAAGGTTTAGGGTTTAAGACTCTCCACGAAATTTGGATTCACTCTTAACAGAATTTGATCATCAAATCTCTTTCGGGCTGGTGTGATTATCCTCTAAGATTCAGCGAATCACTCCAATTTCGCCGAAAGTTTCTTACTTTCCTGTTTTCTCGGTCATAAGATTTGAACCACTCTTAGCCTTTGGAATCAGTAAGATCAATTTCACTGCTTTATCGTTTTAGATTTCATTAAAGTTTAAAGCTTTTTGGTCTGATTTTGTTTTCTTTTTCAGAAAGTTGAAAGCTTTATGGCGCTTAAAGCAAAGCCAAGATCTGAAATGGATATCTCTGGTTGTTCTGCAAATCAACAATCAGATGATGTTAATGGAGATAGGTTTCAAGAAGAGGACGTAGAAGTTGATATCATGAAGTGCGTGAATCAGATTGATGATGAGTTTCAAGAGGATTTGTGTCAAGCTTCTTCTTCTTCGAGTTCTTTTGGTGATTCAATGAGTGCTCGTGATGGTGATGATTTTGGTTTTGGTGATGAAGCACAATCAATGTTAAGTCAAGATTATCCATTGCCTGGAACTTGTGATGATGGGACTGAGTTTTTGGGTTTGACTAAGAAGAAGACTAATGATCGGTGGAGGAGATTGACTAAGCCTTTAATGTGGAGATGTAAGTGGATAGAGCTTAAGGTTAAGGAGATTCAGTCTCAAGCTAGAGCGTATGAGAAAGAAGTTAAAGATTACTATTTGACTAAACAGTTTGATTTGGAGAAGTCGAAATTGGAAGGCTTTGATGGCAAATCGATTCCTTTTCGCGAAAAAACTCAAAGGATGAATGTTTTTAAGAGACGAAGAAGGAAACGAGTGGAAGAGACAACAGATGTTGCTGCTTATATGTCTAACCATAATCTTTTCTCTTATGCTGGTATGTCGACATTGCAGCTTTCTTTGTTTCTTTTAACTTTCTTTTTATCACCACAACATTGGTATAACTTTGTGATCTTAAACTTTGTTATCAGACAAGCGTGTGCCGGTAAATGTCAAAGCGCAGTATCTTGATTCCGGTAAGTTAAGATACATACAGGTTGTTTGATGTTAGTTGTCTGATTAAAATGGGAGTTTTAGCACTAAATGATCATATTATGTTAGATTTTGGTACAGGCCGCAAAGCTACGGGCAAGCAAGATGGAATTGAAGATGATAGTCTTATTTCTGAGTTAGATTGTTCTGATGATGTACTTGCAAAGCTTCTGTGTGAGATTGATGAGGCACAGGGGAAAGCAAGAAGATTGAGGAAGCGTGTTGATCAGTTGATGTGGGATTCTCAGACTGCTCATACATCATCAATGCCTCAAACGGTAGCTCCCTGTCATAGAGACTCTACGATACAAAATGGCAAGAAATGTGCACTTATTGAAGACCCGTTGGCTCGTAGGCAGAGAGAGGCGAGTGTACCAATTGGTAGACAATGTATACCTGGTGATCATATCGAACATCTATTGGTGCCTCAGACACAAATTGCTGGGCAACGTTTGACTAACAACTCTCCAATTTCATCTCAAAGCTTGAGATTTCACCCTATCCTTGAAGACGTAAGAAGTGTTTATTCAATAATTTTCCTATTAATGAAATGTTTGTTAGGAGTTGAAAAAGAATTTGAAAAAATCTTTGAATGGTTGTTGTGCAGCTGCTAATGGATGAAACAGAGATGAATGATGATGAAATGGAAGCGGACGACGAGAAGCTTGATTATTTCAGGAAGCTAATCAATGAGATCACAGGCGTGCCTCCGGAAGAAGCAGATGCAGAAGAAGTTCCTACACCGGTCAGCAAGAAGCGGAAAACTTCTCACTGAAGCTCTCTCTGTACAGAGCCTTATCTTCCTGCCTGATGAGCCAAAACTCATGTCCATAAAGCTCTCTAAAGATAGTAAAATTGGTATATTCCGTTTATTCTTCTCCCCCTCTCTCTCTCTACTAACTCTTTGGATTTGGCTCTTTGAGAATTATGAGACCAGAATAGGTTTCAGAGTTTGTGCACAGTTATGTGACTTAGAACCATATCATAGGCCCTATTTGATTCATTAGACCCTATTTGATTCTAAATTCAAATCTTTTTGATCTTTCCTTATGGAGAGTTTATTCATGTGATTGTGCACAAGAATCAAAAAGTCACACGCACGCCGATTAACAACAAACTGTGATTAAACTAAACTCTGTTTTGGTTTCTTTAATAATGTTGAGAAACTTTATCCGACACATACACATGTCAAGTCGAGAACTTAGTCTGAACTCTGAAGTGTTTTTCCTACAAAATGCTCTTTCTTGATTTTCGAATCTTTGAAAAAGAAATGATTAACATGGAAGATGAGTCAGGTTAGTGATAATTAATGTACCTGTAAAGACCAAATATTAGTGATAATTAAAGAGACTTTTTAGGTAGCCGCATTTTCTTGAGACCCAAACAAAACACTTTGATATTTGTAGACGACGACAAAGCTTTTCTTCAGGGACAGTTTCTTCACTTTCATTGGCTTACTTCTGAGGGGACCGCAAATCCAATTTCACTTTCTTTCTTTTAACTTCCTTTCTCTTTACATTTCCAAATCTTGAATATGTACGCAAGACACAAATTTGGACTATAAATGGTTAAGTTGATAACATCATTATGTCAAAA